ATACCCAAGTTTAGGCTCACGGTGCACGGGCGACAGTGGTGAACTCGCGTGAAATTTAATTTCCATAGAATAAAGTCGCTTCTCATTACATTGTGTTAAACATTTTAAACCGGACAACAGCCTACTGCTGTTATTAGTCAGCAAATAATCCGCGCGCTCGATTGGAAATAAAAGCAGAATTGGCACGGAGAGATTAAAAAGCGAACGGCGAAATTAAACTGCAATTAAGAAAAAACCAAAAACCATAGAATACGGAGAACAAGGCAGGCGCTTTTAGTCCCATGGGGCTGCAGTGAACGTTTCGTTGCCCGTTTCCTCGCTCGCAATTTTCCGACTCGGTGAGTTGTCTCCGAAGGCCAGGCGTGACTCGGGAGGGCCCCCCACCCCCATTGTGACTCGCCCCCCCATTGTGAGGCACTGGGAGAGAGGGTGCCACGTGCAGTTTGAGCCACGGTGGCACTTCCAGGGCGCCGGTCCCAGTTGGCAGGACCGCACGCACGCAGAGTGCGAATGTCGTTGTCTTATCGAGGATGTTGTATGTGGCGCTCTCGTCAAAGCGCTTTGCAGGAGTTACACATTGGACATTAGTCATTGGCCGATGGGGAAATGTGATTGGGTTTGAGTGTTGGGGGAGGGGAAGGGATGGCAAGGGAGGATGATGGTAGGGAGGGGGATGGGGCGAGGTTTGCCCCCTTGCTCTGATAGAGGGCGGCTGAAAACAGGCAGAGAGTCCCAGCTTAAATGAGTCGCACTTTGTTCGAGAGGTTATTTAATTGGACTGATTTTCTGAGATGTCCGTCGTAATACTCGCTGCAGTGTTGTGCACGCCTCGTGCGTGGTTCTGCGTTTGCAGGAATGGGAGCTGCTGCAAACGACATCTGTGTGCCTCTTCACAGCGATGCTGCTGCTGCTGTTGTTGTTGTTTGCGTTGGAAAATCCCTGCCGAGTTTATTTTCATTGATTTAGATGACACGTACACAAAATAAACGGAAATGACATTTTATTGACTTTATTTTCGTCCTGGGAGAGATCAAATATATATGTGTGTCAAAAAATCTAATTACGGTTCACGTGAAAACTTTTATATTGATTTGGGCACCAGAAATTGCCCCAGCATTTCACAGTGGTCTCAAGGGAATTCACTTCTCGGCTAATATGCCAAGTACGCCTGAAGCAGTATATACACACACAAATACAGTATATCAATATGGTACATATAACTTGTTCGTCTGGCCATTCATAACTGCACCTATTATGTTTTCGGTTACATACCATCGTGTGACACATTTAAAAAAAGGCACAATTTGAATGTAAAAAATGTTCCATCACACGACACATTCAGAAACTTAGCAAACGTATATTTGACATTTTGTCTAAATGTAATTCGACTATGTCAAAGATTTGCCTGCATGCCTTTAACGACAAAACATGTACATGTACATTTTGGCTGTTTAATGGTGTGCAGACGCGGTCTTTCAATATGAAACAAGTAGTAAAAAAAAAGGTTACAAGTTTGCCAAATATTAGTTGGCAGAAGTAATTTTGGAACAAGTGAAAGAGATCGGTTCACGCATGAATTCATGAAGAGAAAGAAGGGGTAGCCGATACTACTGCTGGAATCGGGAAATGGGGCAGCACACATCGTTGAGAACAGCTGACCAGAGAGATGAGAGATGGTCGAGAGACAACATCACAGACCTTGGAGGTTGCTATAAGACCGGAGGAGCAGCTGCGCTCAAGGAAGAAATGGAGAAATTGAGGTGAACTTTGACCAACGGTGGGAAGTTATCCGCCGATAAGTGCCACCGTAGTTTTAATCAATTTGAACAGATCTTTGAACTTGCATTGTTCAAACTGTCAATACGCAAGTCGGCCTAGTGCGAGGGTACGTCGATGGAAGAGACCGATGGCCGATGATCAAGAATAAAAACGGATTTGCAGACAAGGGAATGGCATGCGACGAGAGGGCTTCGACCGGGGAGATAGAGCGATGAAATCGGTTCGTGCGCAGGTGCCGGGGGGTGATAACATCACAGGATCGTGAGGGTTGGCGACGGATTAGGGAATCATACAGAAATGACATAACATAGATCAGTGGGGAAAGAAAAAAAATCAAAATGTATTTTTTAAATCCTTTATATTACGTTCGCTTGCTTGTTTAGGACCGTGCAAATCTTTCGGTCGTTTTTTAACCCACTTCCCGTGATCCAATCGAGCTGACATTTTGCACACAGACTCGTTGTGCGTGACAATGCATTTTCGTGAAAAACATTTTTCCAAAATTTTACACTGTTTAGGGAAATGTTTTTTAAATATTTAATTACCAATTGTTTAATGCTGCCAGACAATCATCTGACCCATAGGTGGCAGCCATCTCAAGCCAGAGGACGAGAGGACTCTAGCCGCCCCGATGCCACGCATATAAAGGATTTATAGTGAAAATCTTTGTTTTTACGGGTTAATTTTTTACTTTTCGTAACAGCTATTTTCATTGGAGTATGCCTCCCCTTGCCTCCCCTGACCACACGTTCCTGTCCAGCAGTGGATTGGCCATCACCGATGATGGTGAATATTCACCCCGACAGTTTTGAGCGATCCTTTGCAATTTCCACGACGAAACCGATTCTCGCATGGATCCACAAAATAGGTTTTTGGGTGAGATCGCGTAAATATTAACGTGTCGTTAAACTCGTCACCAACGAATTGCAAATGCTGTGAGTTTACTCTCCAACACACCGGTGTGCTGAACTAGTAATGAATTGGCATGTTTTGTTTTTGTGACAAACCTCACTAATTGGCTGTGTCGGGTGGTGGCGGGTTTAACGACGCATTTATACTTACGCTAACCCAAAAATCCTCTATTGTGGATACTATTGATCGCGAAAGCCCACGTCCCGCATGGATGTTTCGACATTTTGGAGTAAGCTGATGAGTTTATAACGAGATTCGTTTTGCAATTGTTCCTGAAAGACCAAGGTTTTACTTCTCGTTTATTCTCAGGTCGTCACGGCAGCCTTGACTCATCCCTGTCTAGTCCACGCACCGCTTTGTGCAGTGGGTGAAAGCCAACACGTGATTTATACCCTTTAGCCATGTTCCTGCTTTTTAGACGATTCGTAAAGTACTGTGTAACAAGGAGTGAGAAATGTGAGGGGTGCTGAAGGCCATGGGCAGAGGTTACGATGGTGGGCACGGGGGGGGGCAATGCCTCGCCCAAAATAAATTTATAAATTTATTTTCAGTAGTTCAGAATTAAGATAAAAAAAAATAATTATATTCGCTCGCGATTCCTGTGAGGGACAAAGGAAAAATCCCTGCCCCGTCACGTGGAGAAGTCGAACTCCGCCTATGCTGAAGGGTCATGCACACACACACACACCACGAAATGGTACAATGGCCTAAGACAAATTATGGGGGGGTCACCGTTTTGACCCCGTGCCCATACTGGACATCTGTGAAAAAGTGCTTCATAGATCATCGGATTTCTCCCGCAGTAATAATAAATAAAAATTAAGATTTTTGCATCGCGCTAATCAAACGGGCAATTTATATTAATGTAGAAATTGAGCTTTTGTTTATTTTGTACAGACAGTATGTTATCTCGGAAAAATAATCAATTTATGAAACGCGCATTAACATTATTTAGATTATTTTGCTGCTATAAATTTCTACGTTATAAGCCACTTTGTTGAGCTATCGTCTGTGGCCAGGTCGCTTCTGAAAAATAAGTGAATACCTCCGTGGTCTTTGCCTGGTATGATGGGGATGGTTTAGTGTTTGTATGTGTTTTGGGTGATTTGCTATCGTGTTTATTCCGTCATCAGGTGGGAAAACCACAGCAAGAAATACAATTACGGAAGCTTGTGTTGCTTCCGAAACGTCGTGATTTAATTTAGTTTCTGATTATTTGTATTTTATATTTATAAAAAAAGTGTTTTATTTTATTTTATACCCACGTGACTTTACCGAAAGAACCAAAGAGTATGGAACATTGCAGTCACGAAAACTTAAGATCTAAACTTTCGTGTTTTTGTTGTTGGAACGTTCTTACCCGCCCCTACTGGACATGTGTGAAAAAGAGCTCCATAGCTCATCGGATTCCTCCTGCAGCATAAATAAACATTCTGAGTGTGCTTGCCTATGCGAACGCTGCTTGATAATGTTGCACGTGGAGAGCCTATGGTCTAAAGCCACGTTTCTTTACATGTGCGTGGTGTGTGCGCACGTGTAGAGACAGGGGGGGGGGGGTGTAGTGTGGTCAGCACTACGCTGCGCTTCCAATCCGGCGTCTCCCGAGTTCGACTCCCGCTCACGGCCAACATCGGTGACGGATATCTGAACCGGTCCTGGGCCTCCCCTAGGTCGACTCAGCCTTAAATGAGTAAGGTGGGCCTATGGTACGGCGCGAATGAAGTTCAAAGCGACCGGTCCGCGTGTAACGCCACCGGTGAGGGTCGTTGGAAGAATATCGGCAACGGTGGGTGGCGAGAGTTTTATATTTTTAAAATGTGTTTGTTTGTGTTCACCGACATGGCGAATTGAGATTGTGAAGAGGAGCGGTGGGAGATTGTGAGGAGCGGTGGGAGATTGCGAGGGAGACGCGGTGGGAGATTGTGAGGGAGACGTGGTGGGAGATTGAGGGAGACTGTGAGGGAGACGTGGTGGGAGATTGTGAGGGAGACTGAGGGAGACGTGGTGGGAGATTGTGAGGGAGACGCGGAGTTCTTGAATCGACGCGGGGCTCCACTGCCCTGCGACCACTTGAAGAAAAAGTAGCTCCGGGCCGGAGGTGTCAACCCGGATGCGCGCGCGGAGGGATACACCCCCTCCCCACCCCCTGGCCCCTCCCTCTTTAAGCCCCTCCCCCTTTAGGCCCCTCCCCCTTCTCGTCACACCGCCAAGGGGTGTCGCGCGGAGGGTTACACTCGCACGCCGGCGAGGCGGCGAAGCGGCCGCGTACGGCGAGCGAGGGGGTCAAGAGATTTGAACGCGCGCGGAAGGCGATTGGCGACTGAGGCGGCGGTGGTGGTGGTGGTGGAGGCGGTGGTGGTGGTCGTGGTGGCGGGCCGCGGTCTCTGGGACCGTCCTCGTCTTCGTGTCGTTGCTAACAAACAATTGAATTTAAACAACGAGGAGAAGGAGGCGACGGAGGGGAAGGGGGGATTGTTTTTTTGTTAGTTCGTTATATACAACCGCGTGCCCCGTGCTGCTGCTGCTGCTGGGGTGGGTGGTGGTGTTGGCGGCGTCGTGGATTACGCGGCGTTCGGCTGGGAGCAACACGCTCGCCGCTCGCCTCTCTCCGGCTTTTGGGATTATCACGAACCCCGAGTTGTCGAAGGCGACGGGGGTTAGAGGGGTCCCTCCCCACCTCTCCCCCCCCCACTACCCCCCCATCCTCCAACAACAACAACCACCACGACCAACCACACAACAACCAACAACCAACCCCCTGTTTGGAATTCATGCTGAATTGTTGATGAAGTAGCCTCGGAAGGTAAGTGTCATCAAGCGTGTGGTCGTGTGTGCTCGCTTGTCAATTCCGCGGCGACGCCTTCGAACTCTTCTCTCTCTCTCTGACACAGCGGGCAAAGTTTTAAGAATTCGGATCCGTCGTGGATGTGGCGAGGGGTGGTGGTGGTGTGAGCTGTGACAATCTCCGTGTGTCCGCCTTTACACGAACACAAATCATCTCTTCTCTCTCCTCACCCACGCGGCTCCGTCGCGAATAGTCGCGACCCGACATGGTGACTCGCTCGCCCCATCATCTGCCCATTGTTCTTCACTGTCGGCAATGCCTCGTGTAGTCAGTCAGCCTGTCGTGGTGGTCGTCGTCTTGCGGACTGTTCAGTGAGCGAGTGCCTCCACCACCTCCTCCATCACCCTCCCTTCCCCGTCATTCTCTTCCGTCCTCTGTCGCTCTCTGGGACCAAGATGTCAAGTTGTGGGCTTCACCCCGATCGGTGCCACGTTGTCAATAATCGATACCCCGCGGCCCCCCTTTCATTAATAAGGGTTCACCCCCCCCCCCTTCTGTAAATGTCGACTTTTTTGTTTGTGTAAAGTGGTCTCTAACACCGTTCATATCGCTCGCCCGCCCACGTGTGTGTGTGTGTGCGCGCTGTGTTATGTAGGAACAGCATTGTCGGGGGGGGGGGGGGGGGGTACATGTTGCATGAGGCGCCACGCTGAACGTGTTGGTCTCGCACCCCACGGGGGAGTTCAGTCACGGGCGCTTTGGTCGGCGGCATCATCATCTTCATCATCACAGCCACCACCACCACCACCGCGGCGGCGGCGGTGTCATATCTCACATTTGCGGTGGATGGACACTCGCAACACGATGTCTGCGTGGTCTGCACACACTGCACACACTGCACACCGCACGCACACACTGCACACACACCGCACACACACACTGCACACCGCACACACTGCACACACACACACCGCACACACACACTGCACACGCCGCACACACCCCACACACAACACACACACCGCACACACACCGCACACACTGCACACACACCGCACACACACCGCACACACACCGCACACACTGCACACACACCGCACACACACCGCACACACTCTGCACACCGCACACACTGCACACACACACCGCACACACTGCACACACACACCGCACACACACCGCACACACTGCACACACACCGCACACACTCTGCACACCGCACACACTGCACACACACGCCGCACACACTGCACACGCCGCACACACCCCACACAATACACACCGCACACACTGCACACACCGCACACACCACACACACCCCACACACAACACACACCACACACACTGCACACACCCCACACACCCACACACCGCACACACCGCACACACCACACACCGCACATTGCACACACCATACACACACACACACCGCACACACTGCACACACCCCACACACCGCGCACACCCCACACACCCCACACACCGCACACCCCACACACCCCACACCGCACACACCGCACATTGCACACACCATACACACACACACCGCACACACCGCACACACACACACCACACACCGCACACACTGCCACACACCGTACACACACACCGCACACACACACCGCACACACACACCGCACACACACACCGCACACACACTGCACACACACCACACACTGCACACGTCTGGTTATATAGGTCCCTGCATGTGCGAGCTTGTTCCCATGGCCAGCCGTGTCGTGTTCTCTGTCTCTCTCTCCCGAGTTTGCTCGCTCGCTCTCTTTGCCACCACCGTCGACCCCATCCATGGTGGGTGACTTTGAAACAACAACAACAGCAGCAGCAACAGTTAGGTTCTTCGCCATTCCTCCTGCCCACCCCCACCACCATCACATCCCTCCAACTTTCTCTCCACGCCAAAGGCGCACACGAAGAGACAAGGGGGGGGGGCTCGAGGTTGATGAGTGGAGAAAGCCCCGGAGAGAGAGGTTGGATGGATGATGTGGTGGTTGTTTTAGGGGGGCCTTGCCATAGCACCTCCATTCCTCTCGCTCCTCGTTTTTTTTTAAACTCTCTCACTCTCTCTCTCCCATCTCTCTCTCTCTCCCTGCACACCAGAAACTCTTTGTTCGCAGTCGTGGGCAGGGCTAAGAGGGGGGGGGGGGGGACCGGGGAAAATGGGGTTCAGGACTCTCTGAAGCTTTCCATTTGAGACTTTCCCCATGGAAGAAGCGTCGTCTGTGTGTGTGTGTACATATCAACAAACGCCTCGGCCACCTCCCGTCTTAAGCGACACGGGACAAAGACAAAGATCCCCCGCGTAGCCTGTGACGGGACTTGTTTGGGCCAAGTGCTGTTCGCGAGTAAGGACCTATGAAGGTGGTGGTGGTGGTGGGGGGGTAGGCCAACAACAAACATGCCTTGGCCGCCTTTGTCTCCCCAGTGGCGATGTTTACACACCAGATACCCATTTTGAGGCCGAGTCAACCTAGAGGAGTGGGGGTGGGGGGATTGTGTGGCTTGTGAGCCGTGGGTTCGTAGCGCATCGCAACTGGCCGCTAACGCGACCGCCCCCCCCCCTCCGTGTGTCGGGAGACGCAACAATGGACATCGTTACGAACCTTTGGCATCCCCCCCCCTCTCTATCACAACCGAGGCGTCACACACAACAACAACAACACAGCAACAACAACAACCACACCACACATACACGACACGTTGCGAGCGACACGTGGATGGGGAGGGAGGGAGGTGTAGCGGTGTTTTAAGCGTCCCATGTTTGTCGCTCTCATTCGCAGTGATATGAATGACAGTCCCTCCCTCCATGTGTGGTGGTGATCTCAGCGCGGTGGTTGTGCGGCGTTATCACGACTGTTGCAAGTCGGCCACTTCGAGAGAGACAGCTGCTGTCCGTGTGTCTGCGTGCCCGTGAGAGACCAGCCACACACTGAGGCTGGGTCGGTGCCGTAACGTTGGCCTTCCGCTGTGGTCACCGCTCGCATAAACGGAGGGAAATAATCAGAATGCAAGATGGAAACGATGCGACCACTGTGCACTGGAGTCGGCTCGTCCCCCCCCCGCCCGCTGTTGTGTGGGTGTGTGTGTCTGTGTGTGTGTATCTGTGTGTGTGTCTGTCTGTGTGTGTGTATGTATCTGTGTGTGTGTCTGTGTGTATCTGTGTGTGTGTGTGTGTGTTGTGTGTGTTGTGTGTGTGTCTGTCTGTGTGTGTGTTTGTCTGTGTGTATCTGTCTGTGTGTGTGTGTCTGTGTGTGTCAGTCTGTGTGTGTGTCTGTCTCCGTGCTGAGCCACGCTACCCCAACCCCCACACGCTCCCCACACCCCTGCCACAGGCACCCTCCTCCTCCCTTCTTCACGCTCCTACCAAGCCACTCACGACTAACCCCCCACCCACCCACCCCCTCTGTTCTCTTTCTGCTAGAAGCATGAACCCACAGCAGCGAATCGCGGCTCTGGGTACGGACAAAGAACTGAGTGACCTCCTCGACTTCAGTGCGGTAAGGGCCGAGTGACGGCGGTGGGGCAAAGAGGGGTGGTGGTGATGGCGGTGGAGCAAGAGGGTGGTGAAGGGGGTGGTGGTGGTGGAGCAAGGGGTTGGTAGCGGTGGGGCAAGGTGGTGGTGGGGTAAGGGGATTGTGATTATGGTAGTGGGGCAAGGTGGTGGTGGTGAAGGAAGGGGTGGAACAAGGGGGGATTGGGTGGTTGTTGCAGCAAGGGGTGGTGGTGGAGCAAAAGGCTTATAACGACGATGGTGCCTAGTGGTGGAGCAAGGGGGTGGTGATGCGAGGAGAGAGTGAGTCCCGAGTTCCCATACAGGGTTCATGATGATGTTTATTGCCTCTCTTGAGCTGTGCTCCTTGAGGAATGGGGGTGGCTGGCTTGCTTCTCTGCACGTGTCCGAGTTGGAATTCGGTTACGGTATTCCCGGGATTATAAGATGCACTTCCACGTCACCCCCTCACCCCCTTCGTGTACCCCGTAGTATTCCAAAGCCAGACTTGGTGTGCGCCCTGTGCAATGTCTTACAATGGATCTCGTAATGCATGCATGTGTGTGTATGTGGTGTTGGCCGTGCATGCGCCGTGCCGGCCTTCATAGGTGCTGCCCGCTAACAGCACTCGCCCCCCAACAGTCTTATTAAGGCTACACGGGGGGCGTCTTCGTCTTTGTTTTGTGCGTCTGTTGGAACTCCTTAGCCGACCGTGGGAATCGGAGGTGCATTATATCCGGTGTATGTGACCAGATGTAACGCCATGCCGTACCCCCACCGTAGCTTGTTTCGTCCCAGCCCACACCGTGCCCAAGCCACCAACACCCTGCAGGTCACGACGCTTTTGTCGCTCTCTCTCCGCGTATTCCTCCTCCGTCGCTCCACTCCACTTTGTGGAATTCCCTCCCCCCCCCATCTTCTCCTGTCCCCACCACCCCGCCCCTCCAAGCTCGAATGACAGCCGTTTAATCAGCGCGGTTCAACTCTCGTCGGTTAGGACTTCAACGGTGCTGTTTGTTGCTGGCCATCCGTGACTTTTTTTATACCGTTGGATCTGTGCTCAACTGTTTTGTGTGTATATATAGGTGAAACACATTTGTATAACTTTATTGACAACAGGGCAACACTTTTGGTGTCTTATAATACCAGTGAACGTGATGTGAAACGACCCGTCGTGCTTCGTGCGTGTGCGGGTGGAGCACTACGAACCCGGCGGCGACCGAGTTCGATTCCTGCTCACGGCCAACACCAGTGTCGATAATGCGAACCGGTCCTGGGCCTCCCCTAGGTCGACTAGGCCTCAAATGAGTTCCTATGTGTGGTGTGCGTAAACGGTGCCACTAGGGAGACGAAAAAGGCGGTCGGGCGTGGTGCTGGCCACCCACCCCTTCGTGTGCCGTGCCGGCCTTCATAGGTGCTACTCGCTAACATCACTTGCCCCAACAGTCTGTTCAGGCTATACGGGGGTTCTTTGTGTTTTTTTATATCCAAGCAGATAAGTCTCATCAGTGGGTGCTGTATATTCTTCCTGCATAGTGCACAGCACGGTTCAGATTTATTGTCGTGTTGTCGGTAGGGGATGGAGAGGGTAACGCTTGCGATGGCCACGGTAACCTCACCGTTACACTGGCCCACTACAGTGCGCAATGATCGTGCCCAAATCGGCTGTCACCTCGCGGAATATCACAGCATCACCTGGCGTGCTCGGTTTTTACAAGCCGAGAGAAATGATGATTGTAAGCCAAGGGTTGCCCTGGCAGGCATTTGAACTCACGACTTCATATTCCACATGATTTGGGAGCATGCTGCTCCACCAACGCAGTGACGTTCCTCTGAACGAACGTAATATACGGTACGGTGTGTAATACACACTTGGCTGAAATGGTCCTTTTTTTAAAAATACAGCGCATGTTCAATAATTTCAAGCAGTGTAATGAATGGGTTGTCACTAAAGTAAGGTAAATCCAACATACACACGGCTCGAGTGGATGTTCACCTCGGCAGCTGTCCCAAGGGCCATTCGTAAAAGCTCTTTGTGTGTTTTAAACACGGTTGCTGAACACAACGGGACCCTAGGGCCCCAGGACGTCGAGCGGGCAGCAGCAAACTGCACTGTTGACGTTTTAATAGAAAAGAGTGTAACACGTTTATTGAATTGAGCAAGGTTATTATTACTGTAAGAGGTGGAGGGAGCAGTGCGAGGGAAGTGACCTGCAGTGTGGTGAGTGGGTGGGTCAGTAGGCAATGGAGTGCTGTGTATGTATGTTGAATATCTTTCGCACCATACGTAGCCAACCGTGCTAATTGGAGGTGTGAATCTAAACTCAACTATTATTTTAAACTAAACTAAACTTGTTATTTTACCAGTTAAAAGCCTACTGAGTTATGTAGCTCGTTTTCAGAAGCGATCTGGCCACAAATGATAGCTCCACGAAGTGGCTTATCACGTGGAAATTTATAGCAGCCAAATACTCAATAAACGCATGTTTATAAATGAGGAGGAAAAACCGGATGACCCAGAGAAAAATCCACATGATTACAGGGAGAACGCGCAAACTTCAGATATACAGCAGAATGCGTCAGGGTCGGGATCGAACCCACGACCTCCTGCATACCAGGCGAGGTAGTTACCATCACGCCACTGCGAGTCATTATCTTTCTCATTAGGTAAGCTTATTTTTCACACGGCATAGACACTGAGGTTCAGTATGGGAGATATTTTTCCATTTGTTTTGGATTACATCTTCCTTTAAGTAAAACAAATGTCTCTTTTAAGTATGTAAAGCACGGCATTACAGCCGATTACAGTTAAGCTGATCGAGTCAAGATACACCACGACTGCTGCCCAGTTCACAATGCCCTGCACGTTTTTTTAATTTTCTCTCCTGTTACATCTCAAATGTGCTTTGGTCATGAAGGCACATGGCAACGTACAGTTCTCGGCGATCCATCGTGCAAGCCATGCAGACCATCGTCAGTACTGGAACACAGCCTCACAATAGACAGGATGAAACCTCTTGGCTTCTCTCTTTAGCAGGCCTCTCACTGCCACCATGGCATTGGCTATCGAGTGTTGCCGTATTTCCCAGCTGCCAGAACTGGTACATTTTCTTAACAACGTCCGAATTTTGGCAATGCATTCGCAAAACAATATCTCAATGGGTTAAGACATTTTCACGAGGGTCCTACTTTTTCAGGTTTGAAGACTTTTAATGTTTGTGTGTGTGGAAGGATATCGCACTGCTTGGAGAAAATGCGCGGGTACATGGGAAAGGACACGCAACTCGCCAAAGATAGATGGTCCACCTTTTTGCTGTACTGCTAGCTACCATGCTGCCCTTCCTTTGGTTATCTCTGTCATATTCTCTCATCACGATCCATCAATTCCCACCTTCCATCTGTTTCTTTACAGGCGCAGTCCACGACACGTAGTTGTACAGCACTCTTGTCAATCCACTGCTGGATGAGGGTCTCTCCATGCCATGCGAATCGTGGGCGTTACTTGACTATACTTCACCACACTAATCGGTGTGACTTCGTTGCAGGAGCATAGAAGCAGGGCCATAGTACAGTACAGCAGTTGATTTTTCCGCACTGCCCTCTGCTGCTCACACATGGAAAATTTAACCGAACCATCAAAAACTAGGATCGAATGAATGAGTTTTTTTTTTTACAGATATTAGTGGACCAGGCTGACATCATTGCACTCGCTAGACTTGAGGGCCTGGCTTACCCTGGGCTTGAGTCTAGGAAGCTGCTAGCCTTTAGGGCCTGGCTGACTCTGGGTGACCATCTGGGCTTCAGTCTAGGGTGCTGCCTCTTTAGTGTGCATTTAACACTCCTCCGAGTTGCCAACCCACTTCCCAGCTTGTTATTCTCTGACATTTGCTATAGACACAAAGCAAAGCTCGAAGGTGAGCTGCACGGTGCAGGTTTTGTCAGTTTTTACTTCCGTGCTTTTATGATTTAATCGTCCAGATAGCAAGTGTGTTCTTGTAGCCTTTTTGGCTGAGCAATGTGTATCCCATACGCTCAACATGGCATAATGGTGTTGACTACACCTGTAATCGAGATGTTTTGTAAGTAAGGGTTTGGTGATTTAAATAGGTATGTTGAACTCTCAGGCTTGCTGTGCAACACAGTGGCCAGGAGATGATGGAGCAAATGGGGTTGTGACGCCCTCTGTGCATGTCCACGAGGTTATCCCCTCCCACCACCACCCCCCCCATGGATGTCTGTGAGATCTTCCCGGGCACTCCGGCTTCATTAAGAAAAGGAATTTGTCAAGCATCTTAATGACCATGTCCTTAAAAAAACAAGTGTCTTGATAATTATCGGCATGAGGCTTCCCCGCAGAAGTAAATGACATCGGACAAACAGGACGGTAATTACCCACGTTTGAGACCATGCCACGGGCGCGATATGTCTGAATTATCAGGCAAGCACACCTGTTGATAATGTCATGGTAGCGCATTATACTATCTGGGCTCACTTGGATTCCAACTTATGAACCCTTGGACCGAGCGGCACGCATGCTAAGTCTGGGCCACCCAGCTGCTGCCCTTTTACCGTGCAAGGTTTGCGCTGAGATTAAAAGTTAGCCATGTTTAGCAAAATTTGTACTCTAGTGCATGTTAGATGTTTATAGATTGTGATATGCGACTGTTGGGAGAGTAAAGCGGGCTTGGGCAGGATACGTCACGTTCAAGGGATGGTGGTCGATGGGCGAAACTGGCGATGAAGGTGCAGCCAAAGGAGGGCAATGCACTCAGGAGGACAACCACCATGGAGATGGAGCCATGAAAGTAGGATGGCTTATTGTGTACTGACACCACGATGGCCTTGAGGTGGCCTTGACCCAGCAGTGGATAAATCATAGCACCTCCGATTAGCACGGTTTGGCTACGTACGGTGCAAAGGAAGTTTAGCATACGTACAAACAGCTGATGATGATGTGAACTCATTGTAAGTACAGTAGTTGTGTCTGGCCATATTTTTAGTGTTGGT